AGTGGACAGGGAAATATCCTAGTAGTAACTGATCACTTCACTAGGTATGCTCAGGCTTTTCCCACAAGAGACCAACAAGCACTCACGGTGGCCAAGATCTTGGTGGAAAAATTCTTTGTGCACTATGGTCTACCTCAACGCATCCATTCTGATCAAGGGAGAGACTTTGAAAGCAGTCTCATCAAGAAACTGTTAGATCTTTTGGGCATCAGGAAGTCTAGAACCACCCCATACCATCCTCAGGGAGATCCCCAACCAGAGAGATTCAACAGAACCCTCTTGGATATGCTTGGGACTCTGACTTCTGAGAAAAAGCAGCACTGGAGCAAGCACATAGCAGCTATCGTGCATGCTTATAACAGCACCACAAACGATGCCACAGGATACTCTCCGTATCGTCTAATGTTTGGGCGAGAGGCCCGGCTGCCAGTAGATTTGGCTTTTGGCACATCCATAGACCGTACCTCTGCAACCTCACACAGAGGATATGTGGACCGCCTGCGGAAAAGTCTGAAGGCTGCCTATGACAAGGCCCAAGCTGCCTCAGATGCCCGAGGACAGAGAAATAAAAGAAACTTTGACCTCTGGGTACGAGTGCAGGATTTACAGCCGGGTGACAAGGTGCTGCTGAGAAACCTGGGTGTCCCTGGAAAACACAAATTGGCTGACCGGTGGAAATCGCAGCCCTATGTCATCTGCAAACAGCTGCCAGGACTCCCAGTGTACCAGATCTGGCCAGAGGGAAGCACAGGCCCGCTGAAAACTTGGCATCGTAATCATTTGTTGCCTCTATCTGAAGCAGTTCGTGTGCCACTACAGCCAGATCCACAGTCATCATCCAGGGCCCCCCAGAGATCTCGGCCAGTGACTCGGTTTCAGTCTGTGCTTCAGCCTGCAGAAGATGGACAGCGAAGATGAAGAGATGGGAATGGATTGGCTGTGGTTGTGTTAGGATCCGCCAGGCGGAGCCCTCCGTCTGCCAGCTGGTAGACCTACCCAGAGCGTGGGGTCTAAGCCCGGGCTGTGCTTTCACCAGGGCCCCTGATGGTGGGGATGGACTTGAAACAGTCCCGGGCCAGGTCACGACCTCTGAGCGGGCCACCAGCGGCCGAGGAGGCCTCCGGGGATGTATGTAGGTACCAGGAGAGCCAGCTGTGAAGAGGATGGCGGCCCCAGCAGGGTGGTACGGATAGTGGCCCCGTGGGGTAAGCGGGGTACCGAATCGGCGGGCTAGGAGTAGTCGGGTCACACGCAGGGTCAGTCAGGTAAATCAATCCGTAGGAACAGTCGGGATAAGCCGAGTCAAAACGCAGGAGCAGGCAGAATAGTCAGAACAAAGCCGGGTCAATCACAGGAGCGGGTAGAATAGTCAGAACAAAGCCGGGTCAATCACAGGGGCAGGCAGCGTAGTCAGGGTCAAAAAAACAGGGTCACAGCAGGAGCAGGTATTCAGGATCACATATAGACCTTGCGGCAATTTGTGACAGTGCAGGGCATCTTTAAATAGTGCGCCCTGCACTGTCATTGGCTGGCTAGGACGCGCCCCCCGGCTGTCATTGGACGCCTGAGGCGTGCCCGCGGTTTCTACTGCGCATGCGCGGCGTCCTGTCAGCCGCGGCTCGCCGGGACCTAGTTCCTGTGTCCCGGCGTGATCTGCCGCCAATGCGCATGCGCGGGGGGACAGAGCCGCGATTGCGGCAGACGGGGCCGGGATCCCTGACATTGCCCCCCCCCCCCAATGGGCACCCTCCGGGAGCCCCACTGATCTCTCCACCGCGGGTGAGCACGACAAAACTCCCGGATGAGCCTGGGCGCGTGAACGTCCTGGGCGGGTTCCCAGGAGTTCTCCTCAGGACCATAACCCTTCCATTTTATCAGGAACTGAGTCTGGCCCTTCCTCCTTCGGCAACTGAGGATAGTCTCCACCTCAAATTCCTCCTGGTCACCTATGGCGATTGCCTCGGGAGGTCTGGATTCTCGGTCTGGGAAGGGATCCGGTCTGGACGGCTTCAGGAGAGATACATGAAACACAGGATGTATTTTGAAAGTCTGCGGAAGCTCGAGTTCGTAGGCCACCTCGTTGACCATTCGTTTAACAGGAAATGGGCCAATGTACTTGGGTCCCAGCTTCTTTGAGGGGCACAGCATCTTCAAGTTGGCTGTTGCTAGCCAAACCAGATCTCCTGGTTGAAGCAGTAAATCTCCTCTTCTCTTTCTGTCGAAAGCCTTCTTACTGTCCTCCTGGGCCTTAGCGATGGCTTCCTGAATAGTCTTGTTGTTGACGGAAAAGAAGTTCAAGATGTCTTGCGACGCCGGTACCAGATTTTCAGGCATTAGATCAGGGAGGAATGTGGGGTGATACCCGTAATTAGAAAAAGAATGGCGATTGACCCGTAGCTGAGTGACTTGAGTTGTTGTATGAGAACTCCGCAGAAGGCAACAACGTCAGCCAGTCATCCTGGAGATAGGAGGTGTAGCATCGTAAATACTGTTCCAGCGTTTGGTTGGTCCTCTCGGTTTGACCGTTGGTCTGCGGGTGGTAGGCGGATGAGAGCGACAGCTTGATTCCCAGCGCTTTACATAGGGCGTTCCAGAACCTGGAGGTGAATTGCACCCCCCGATCCGACACAATGTCTTCGGGGACTCCATGAAGCCTTACCACTTCCCGAATGAAGATCCGTGCCGTTTCCGGTGCCGATGGGGTCTTCTCCAGGGGCACGAAATGCGCCATCTTCGAGAAGCGGTCGACGATCACCATTATCGCTGTGTGGCCTTGGGATGGTGGGAGTTCGACCACAAAATCCATGGCTATCATTTGCCAGGCCCGCTTGGGTATAGGTAATGGACGTAACAATCCCCATGCCCTACTCCTGGAGGGTTTGTTCCTTTGACAGGTGGGACACGTCCGGACGTAACGCTCACAATCCTTGATCATGTCCGGCCACCAGAACGAGCGCCGTAGCAGTTCTAGAGTCTTCGTCACCCCGAAGTGACCTGCCATTGGATGGTCGTGGCAATGCCCTAGGACCAAGGTTCGCACCTCTTCTGGGACCATGATTCGGTCTTCCTTCCAAAACAGGCCACCGTGGCTCTGGAGGGGTGACCCAGACGGAACGGGTAGTCTTACCGAAGCATCAAGAAGCCGGGAGCGCAGTTCCGTTTGTAGCGCGAGGAAGCTTCCAGAAGGCAGGATGGTGTCTGGTACCGCAGCGTCGTCGGGGTCCTCAAACATGCGGGACAGGGCGTCTGGTTTGGTATTCTTAGTACCGGGTTGGTACGTTATATGGAATGAGAATCGAGAAAAGAAAAGAGCCCATCTCGCTTGGCGTGGTCTCAGTCGTTTTGCCGTCCTTAGATATTCAAGGTTTTTGTGATCTGTAAATATTAGGATTGGGTGAGTGGCCCCTTCCAGTAAATACCTCCATTCTTCCAGAGCGGTTTTAATGGCCAGGAGCTCCCGATCTCCAATGTCATAGTTGCGCTCCGCTGGTGTCAGCTTCCTGGAGAAGAACGCCACAGGGTGCAGTAGTTCCTTGGTACCATTCCTTTGGGACAGAACCGCTCCTACCGCGTTTTCGGAGGCGTCTACTTCCAACACATATGGGAGCGAAGAATCCGGATGGCAGAGAATGGGAGCAGAGGTGAACAGTCTCTTGAGCTTATCGAAGGCCGACTGAGCTTCGGAGGTCCACTTAAAGCGGACCCCTTGTTTCGTCAGTTGCGTGATCGGGGAGACCAGGCCGGAGAAGTTCCTAACAAATTTTCTGTAAAAGTTAGCAAAGCCGATGAAACGCTGTACCCCCTTTTTGTCGGCGGGTATTGGCCAATCTAAGATCGCCGTGACCTTCTGGGGATCCATCGCGACCCCCGCGGAAGAGAAACCAGTCCCAAGAATGTGATCTCGTGCTGTTCAAAACAGCACTTTTCAGCCTTAGCGTATAGCCCGTGTTGGCGCAACCGTTCTAAGACCCGTGACACGTGACCTCGATGAACCTCCAGTGAGGGGGAAAAAATTAGGATGTCATCCAAGTAAACTACCACGAAAATATCAAGAAAATCGCGAAAAACATCATTGATAAAATGCTGAAAAGTCGCCGGGGCATTACAGAGCCCGAACGGCATCACCAAATATTCGTAGTGACCGAATCTTGTACGGAACGCCGTTTTCCACTCATCCCCCTCCCTGATACGAACAAGGTTATAGGCCCCCCGCAGGTCTAATTTAGTGAATATCGTTGCTGATCTCAGTCTCTGGAGGAGCTCGGGGACTAGGGGTAAGGGATAACTATTCTTTACCGTAATTTTATTTAGGTCACGATAGTCTATGCAGGGCCGTAACGATTTGTCCTTCTTCTCTACAAAGAACAACCCGGCCCCGGCTGGGGATGTGGAAGGACGAATAAAGCCCTTCCGAAGGTTTTTGTCGATATATTCCCTCAGCACCCCCGATTCCATTTCGGACAAGGGGAAGATACGGCCGAAAGAGATTTCCGACCCGGGTAGGAGGTCAATGGGGCAGTCGTAGGGACGGTGTGGAGGTAGAACGTCAGCTCCCCGCTTACTAAAGACGTCCAAGAAGTCATGATAGGCCGGAGGAATCACCTGGGATAGATTGGTGTCTCCGTCCAAGCACAGGAGGAACCGGGGAACCATGGGTCCTGTGACGTGGCAGTGACTCAAACAATAGGGTGACCGAAAATGAATCGTTCCCTTTTCCCAGTCAATCTGGGGGTTATGGGCCCTCAGCCAAAGGAGCCCCAGAATGACTGGAAAAAGGGGGGAGGCGATGGCGTCCAAACGGAGGAACTCCTGGTGATGGTCTGCCATAGTGGTGAAAATGGGTGGCGTCTCCTGGTCCACCACCCCAGATTTTATACTGGACCCATCTGCCAAGAAAATGTTGAACCCCCTTTCTTTGGTCTGGAGAGGGATTTTTTGCCGGTGGGCAAAAGTCAGATCAATAAAACAGCTACAGGCTCCTGAGTCAACGATCGCGGTCACCGACAATATTCCTCCGGGGAGCTGTAAAGACACAGGAATGGCCAGGTAACTAGACTGATCATCCCTGCCTGCAGGTAAGGAACAAGAAACGGGCGTGGACTTACTCGTTTTTGCAGGACAGGAGCACACCTGGTGACCAGCTTCCCCGCAGTACAGACACAGGTTCAGTGAGCGCCTCCTCTGGCGTTCCTCGACCGATAAGTGGGAACGGGCCAGTCCCAGTTGCATGGGTTCCGAGTTGTCTCCCATCTCCGTGTTTCACGGATGGTTCCCTGGGGCTGGAGTTGTATCTCTTGATGGAATCCATGCCACCCTTTGACCCTGGCCGCTCCTTTCCTGTCGACGTTCCCTTAGTCTACGGTCAATTTGAATGGCCAATTCAATCAATCTTTCCAGGGAGTCAGGTAGGCCTACTCGTGAGAGTTCGTCCTTGAGAGGCTCAGACAGTCCAATGCGGAACTGGTGACATAAGGCCGCATCGTTCCATCTGGTGTCTCCCATGCTACGCCTAAAATCGGACGCGTATTCTTCCGCTGCCCGGCGCGGCCCTGTCGCAGAGAGTATAGGGTAGCCTCTGCGGAAGCAGCCCGCTGAGGGTCGTCATACAAAACGGCCATGGCCTGAAAGAACTCGGTCACGGAGTCAAGATGGGGGTCGTGCCTCTCCATCAGACGGTGGGCCCAATCCTGGGGCTCATCCTGAAGGAGAGAGACTAGAAACCCCACCTTGACGGTCTCGGAGGAGAATGTGCGAGGCTGCAAGTCAAAATATAGTGTGCAAGCGTTCCGAAAGGCTCGGAAGCGGCTCCGGTCCCCACGGAACCGCTCCGGCAGGGGAACGCGGGGCTCAGGAGCTAAGGGTGTGGCAACCGCTCCGGATACCAGGGTAGCGGGAGGTTCCACAGACGGGGAACTCTGAGCAGGGGGAGTCTGGGGGGCTAATGTCTCCATGCGGTCTTCCAGTCGGGCGCAGCGACTGTGGAAGTTCTGGAAAGCCTGGGTCAAAGTTGCCAGGTGCTGGCAAATATCCTCTAGGGACGCCGGTCCACTTCCTGGCTCTGTCATGGCCGCAAGGTACTGTTAGGATCCGCCAGGCGGAGCCCTCCGTTTGCCAGCTGGTAGACCTACCCAGAGCGTGGGGTCTAAGCCCGGGCTGTGCTTTCACCAGGGCCCCTGATGGTGGGGATGGACTTGAAACAGTCCCGGGCCAGGTCACGACCTCTGAGCGGGCCACCAGCGGCCGAGGAGGCCTCCGGGGATGTATGTAGGTACCAGGAGAGCCAGCTGTGAAGAGGATGGCGGCCCCAGCAGGGTGGTACGGATAGTGGCCCCGTGGGGTAAGCGGGGTACCGAATCGGCGGGCTAGGAGTAGTCGGGTCACACGCAGGGTCAGCCAGGTAAATCAATCCGTAGGAACAGTCGGGATAAGCCGAGTCAAAACGCAGGAGCAGGCAGAATAGTCAGAACAAAGCCGGGTCAATCACAGGAGCGGGTAGAATAGTCAGAACAAAGCCGGGTCAATCACAGGGGCAGGCAGCGTAGTCAGGGTCAAAAAAACAGGGTCACAGCAGGAGCAGGTATTCAGGATCACATATAGACCTTGCGGCAATTTGTGACAGTGCAGGGCATCTTTAAATAGTGCGCCCTGCACTGTCATTGGCTGGCTAGGACGCGCCCCCGGCTGTCATTGGACGCCTGAGGCGCGCCCGCGGTTTATACTGCGCATGCGCGGCGTCCTGTCAGCCGCGGCTCGCCGGGACCTAGTTCCTGTGTCCCGGCGTGATCTGCCGCCAATGCGCATGCGCGGGGGACAGAGCCGCGATTGCGGCAGACGGGGCCGGGATCCCTGACAGGTTGTCTCAGATGCTTGAATCTGCTATCCCTCCTTCTCCTGCCACAGTAATCGACACCGGGATACTCAGGCCAGAAGCTCCTGAGTTTGTGCCTCAGAGTCCACCAATTGAAGAGCTGGAAGACTCTCAGTCCTCTTTGCCGACAACAGACTCTGCAGACATCCCATCCTTCATTGAAGAGGAAGTTAGGGATGAAGCTAAAATTCAGGGAGAAGAGAGACCAGTGTGCTTGCAACCCCAGAGCCTAAAGAACAGCGAGAGTGTAGGGTTATTCACCTGCCAAAGAGGCTAACATATGATACTTTGGGTGAGAGCTCTGAAGAGGTTGTTCTCACCGCTAAAAGGACTCTTGAAGCACCTGATCCTCCCACCACAGATTTGGTGGTTGAAAATCCTGACTCACCCCCTGACACATCTGGCTGGGCAAGTCCAATTAAGGTGGCTTATAGGCTACTAACTGGTGGGAGGTTCCCCTGCCAAGATTTTATGAGAATGTAAATTGTTTGGTTTCCTGTGTGTACTAACTTGTTTTCTCCGCGTGTATATATCAAGCATGTACCAGGTCAAGGATTGTTACTGCCTTTGGAGGACCAAAGGTTCTTTGGTGGGGGGAGTGTGTAGCAGGAGATATTAATCCTGTCTCATGGCTGTGATCTGCTGACTGGCCTCTCCTGTGTAACCTGACACTTGCCCTGACACAGACAAAGCAGTGAGGGATTTCAGCCCCCCTTCTCCTCTCAGACTGTAAGAGAGTGAGAGAGCCAATTAAAAGAGCCATTAAAGGAGCCAATGACAAGGACTTTGTCAAACAGGAAGTGCAGGTGCAAAGCATTGTGGACGATGGAGTCTTGAACCGAAACGGCCTTATAGGCTAATATGGAGATAGAATTATAAAAAAACTACGAAAGACATCGTGCTGAGGGAGAGCAGAGTGAAGGGATCCATCTTGGGGTTTTTCTCCTGAGGAGAGGAGACTGCATGTGGCAGCAGAGAGATTGGACCTGGCAAAGAAGTGCTTTTGGGCAGTGCACTGCATGCTTGGTGATCTGCATCAGCCAAGGGAACATCCAAACTGAGAGAAGTGGCTTACAGTACAGAGGCCATCCTGACAATGTGAAGTGCTCATCCTGAGGTGACCAGAGGAACCTGTCATTTCCAGGACGATCGTTTGGGCCTTTGTCACAGGATCTGGTGAGAGGGATTTTTTCCCACTGTCAGATGACAGGAACACTGCACACATACTGCATCATACCTTGCTCAAATTCACCAGGCACTGGGTTGTGTAGATGGCCCTGCTGAACAGACACAGTATTCGCTTTGCTATACAAATACTGCCACTGGATTACAATTATACTTTAAGTGTTTAAGGAGTTTAAGTGCACCAACGAAAGTGGCTAGCTGAAGATCCCAAGATTCATCCTGTTACCAAGAGACTGAAGTTACTGGTGCCATACGTGCACGCGCATGCGTATTCAGGCCTCTATATTGCATGGTGTGGGAGGGAATAGCTTTACCTTGGAAAGCAGCTATTAAGCATCATTTGGATACAGTGTTTGCCTATTGGGCTTGTGGTGTCGGGGGTTAGAAGGGAGAAGTTTGACACAATAGAGAGTCATTCTTCTGCCCTCCTCCTGCTTGGACATCATAGAGCCGAATCTATGTAGAGGAGGTAATTCCACTTTCAGGTTGCCATTTAAGTGTTTGCCTCTGCTCTTGGGGTTAATTCATGGTTGGAATCCCCTGAAAGCAGCCTAAGTGTAAAAGTGAGTTAGTTTGCTTTCGGTCACAGTATTTGCTGTTCTCTTGATTCTCCTAACATATACCTGTTGTTAATGTTTATTACTTCCCATAGAGGTCTTACAGTAAAGCTGATCTCTGTGTTTTATTATAAAATGTGTGCTTTTCATTGATCCTTGCACTTACACTATTGCCAGGTGTGCCAGTTGGAGCTGAGACAGTTCTTGGGGTTGAGAAGCAGAGTGGCGGAGTGAACAAACTTAAGCAGCCCCTACGGGGGTATCGCTACATAAGTATCAGTGAAATATGCCAGCTGCTATTACTGCCTTCCTGAAAATTCTAATTGCCTGGCTGTATTTTGCTTATTTTTCGAAATCAGTGATCCAGACAAAAGTCAAAATCCTAATCTAAATACTTCTCTCAGGCAAAGAACTCAAAAAGTAATAAAGGCAATGGATCAGAAGAGCAAGCAATTGGCATTTCAGAAAGAGAAAAGCAACAGAAACCTACATATTTCTGCCTGTACAGGTTTCCTTCAAAAAGGACATCTTTGGGGAATTCAGGAAATTTTTAAAGTATAACTGAAGGCAAAACTCTACCCCCCCCACCATTTGGGGGGTCAAATGCGAAGGTGTCCCCTCAGTTCCAGTAACAACCCAAAATGTTGGATTTTCTTTCAGTTTCTGTGATAAATGGGAGAAACTGAAACTTCTCACTGACAGAAGTAAAAACCTGTTCTAACCCCTCCCCGTTCTGTCCAAAACTAAAGGGCTTTGCTGTCAATCACACTTAAGGCCTCACGCAGTCTGGGTGTTTTAAAAATGCCGGTAACGTTAGCTGTGTAAAGTCGGGTTAAAAACCATGAGGTTTTTCGGCTTTTTGTTTAGTGTTTATGCATTATCATTTAGCCACTTTTTCCATGTTAGTGTTTATTACAATAATAACTTTTGGCTCAACAACACAGGTTTATCAAAAACACTATGTTTACCAGCATTAGAGCATTTTTTTTTTTGTAAAAACTCTTATAGAAACCCACTAGTACTTTTTTTTCAGCCAGAAAACACCCCTGCTAAAAATCGGTGATTAAAGCCTATGTGTGCATGGACACATAGGAGAACATGCTGGGGTTTTCTGGCTGGAAAAAAAAAAAAAAAAAAAAAAAAAAACACACCCCACACAACACAAGCCACAAACAGCAGCTTTAAAAATGTCCAGTGTGCACGAGATCTAAAAGAAACATCTTTTTACAAACCTCAAGCTCTCTTTCAGATGGTAAAAACAGGCAGCTGGGTCCCGGCTTGGCTGCCCACCCAAACTGTAAAACAGCCGGATGGAAAGTCAGGCTTGAGAAATTCTGTCCGAGTTCAACAGGGCCCTGCCACAAACTTGCATGTGATTGCAGAATGGAAGTGCATCATTATACAGTTAAATCAGGCGGTGAAGAGGCAATACAACACCTCTTCACCTCCTGGTAAATACCATCTGAGAAGCAATCTGAATGCAGATCACTCTTCAGAGGGCACAGCGCTCCACCACAAGTGTAAAAGAGCTCTTACGATGAACTTCAGGAACCCAGAGAAATACATATTTTGAATCTATGTATGTACATCTTCTGTTAGCATGTTACCTGTACTGTAGAACAACTGACTGGCTCCTTTTGTTGCTTCTCCCTCTTCTAGTCTAAGCTCTGCTATACAGTAACTGCAAAATTCTGATACCAAGTAAAAAAAAAAAACCCATACTTCCAAGTATTAATAAATACAGCTTTGCAGTCATATGTATTTTTTAATATCTGCCATGACATGGCAATGCCCTGTAGCGCAGCAAAACTTTGGGGACATTTTGGTGCATTGGAAGTCCTTTGATTGCAATGGGCATCCTTAGAGCAATGAATGTAAATATGTGATATAATGTATTGCATATATGCAAGTGTGTCTTAAGGGCTCATTCACACTGGAACGTGGTGCCGGACCCCGCATTAGTTTTCAAAACACACTGCCCTTGAGATATGCTGCAGATGTCAATGCAAAGCTACTGACACCTCAAACACTGGCCGTAAAAGCAGCACATTTGCCTGCACTGAATCAGATACAGAAGTACCATGCAATCTGGTTGCAGTGCATTTTTTTTTCTGTTCTGTGCATTGTGATCTCAGCCTATTCATTTTTGAATGGGGAAAAAAAAAAAAAAAAAAAAAAACCCACACCAAAAGCAGTGCATGCATTACTTTCTAAAACACACTGCAATCAGATCACATAGTACAAGAGTACCATGTGATCCCATATTGGCAGGTGCAGGCAAACGCACTGCGCTTCCGACCTGCATTCAGGCTGTCATTAGCTCAATACGGACACCAGTTTCAGATTGCAAATGGAGTGTGTTTTGCATGCAGTCTAAATCGCACAGCGCGATTCATGTGTGGGCATGGTGTGAACTGGCCGTTAATCTGAAAGTTTTTGGAGTCAATGAAACGTGCACCACTCCTACCCTCCAAGCATTCTCCTTGTATGCTGGAATCGGGTGCTAGCTTGGTGTCCATCACTCCTTCACACACACACAGTAGCTGGTTATAATCAAAATGAAAAGCCGCACAACGATGAGGTCTTCACAGGCAAAACATAATCAGCCAACAAGTAGAAACACATGATCTTGCCGTAAGGGCCACGTCTCTGACATGGTTTGCCTGATGGGCATCCTCTATGATTAAAGGCCAAGTCCACCTTTAAAACATGTTACACCTATATGTAAGATGTAACTCTGACAGTGGGTGGGGTGGTTCTCCTTCCGCAGCAGCTGGCAGACTTGAAATCAGAGTACGTCATTCATTCATCTATGAGAATAAATTACAAGTCCCATCAGTGAATTAATAAACTGCACTTGCAGCAGACAGACTTGCAGCACTTGGAATACAAGCACCATGATCAGCACACTCGTAGTCCATTGACACTTCCTCCAGCTCTCTAATTGAAATCCTGGACATGAAGCTGGAGGAAGTCTGCAGGAGCCTGGCATTGCATCTGGGATATACTAATAATAAAATGATTGCAATGCTTTGCAGGATTACTTGACAAAAAAAATTAATACATTTATATAATTGTTTTTTTTTATTAAAATTTTTTGTAATTATACATTTTTTTCATAACATTAATATGCACACATTTTTTCCTACAAATACATGTACATTTATTTATTTTTGCAAAAGGTGGCGTTATCCTTTAAGCCCTTTGGGTGAGACACATCAGAGTACAAAAAAGTTTACTAAACCGTTATTTCTGAAATGTACATTGCCAGTTTTCTGCATCTTCACAATCAGAATGGGACAAGACAAAGTGGAATAAGAAGTTCACTTACCAATTTCTTTCATATATTCCTCAAAATGTTCAGAAGTAACCAGCTTCCAGCACCCATGCAGTTTCTCAGCCATAGCGGCAGCACTTTTCTGAGTCTAGATAATGCAGAAGGATCGGATGACTATAGAAAGTGAGGGAAGAGTAACGAGAGTTCCTTTATAAAGAGTTGGGCTGAACTCCAGTGATGTCACCAGCAGCAGTCAATGGGGAGAAGAATGACCTCCCTCTTCCCTCCAGAGCTGATTCAGCACTTGGTCTGCACCTTACAAGAATACACAGATTTCATCTTTGGTGGATTCTACAAGAAATTACACGTTCTCTTTCAAAAGCGCGGCTTTCACTCCACACCCACATTTTGTGCCGACAGCAACACTTATCATTGACATGTCTGACTTTCACTGAGAAAACTGATTTTTATGATACATACAAACCACAAAACCTTGGGCTGTTAAGCGGTTTATCCTGTTATCCAGCTTAATTGTTTTAGATTTCACTTTAATGCTCAGTTCACACTGCTGCATTTTGGGATCTGACTTGTGAGACCCCAAGTCGCATGACATGTGAAATCCCATGTTATTCAATGGGAGCTTAATTAGCACTACTGAAGTTGCTCCGACTTTAGAAAAGGTTCCTGTACTACTTCAAGGCGACTTCTATCCGACTTGTGCCCATAGACTTTAATGGAAGTTTTCTCCAGGTCAGATACTCATCTATATTGATGTGATTTGGATCCGACATTACAGGAAGAATACCCAGGCAAAGTCGCATGGCATAAAAGTTGCGTATAAAATCGCATCAAAGTCGTACTCAAGTCGCAGATAAATAGGTACAACTTATGTTGAAGGACTTGTTTCATCTCTGTATATCACCTGAGAACAGTCACTTCACTGTGTATATGGAAGGGTTTACAACCACTTTAAGGTAAACAAAACTTAAAATCACTTTAAATGCAACTCCAGGGTCTGGCATTTTGAGCTGGCTGATAGCTAAAAAGAGTGAGAAATTTTTGACTGCTGGTGATTGCTGGTGCTTGTAGTTGTTTTATTTTCTTCTTTGGGTCTTGCTAAAAGCTTTTACTTTTTTAAACCCCTTTTTCTGTCATTTTTTAACCACTAGCCAACAGGGCACTTATACCCCCTTCCTGCCCAGGCCAATTTCCAGCTCTCAGCGCTGTCGCACTTTGACAATTGCGCGGTCATGCAACACTGTACCTATATGAAATTTTTCTCATTTTTTTGAGACAGATAGAGCTTTCTTTTGGTGGTATTTAATCACCTCTGGGTTTTTTATTTTTTCTTAAACAAACCAAAAACCACTGAAAATTTTGAAAAACAAATGTTTTTTTTTCTTAGTTTTTGTTATACAATTTTGTAAATAAGTGATTTTTCTCCTTCACTGATGTGCGCTAAGGAGGCTGCAGTGATGGGCACTGATAGGCTGCACTGATGGACACTGATAGGTGGCACTGATGGGGAGTCACTGGTAGGTTGCACTGATGGGCATTGACAGGCATCACTGATGGGCACTGAAAGGCAGCACTGATACATGACACTGATAGGTGGCACTGATAGGCGGCACTGACTGGCACTTATAGGCGGCACTGACTGGCACTGTTAGGCAGCACTGACGGGCACTGATAGGCGGCACTGACTGGCACTGTTAGGTGGCACTGACTGGCACTGAAAGGCGGCACTGATGCGCACTGATAGGTGACACTGACTGGCACTGATAGGTGGCACTGATTGGCATTGATAGGTGGCACTGACTGGCACTGATGGGTGACATTGAAAGGCAGCTCAGATGGGCACTGATATGTGGCATTGATGTGCACTGGTATGCACTGATATGTGGCACTGATGGGCACTGGCACGTGGCACTGATGAGCACTGGCTGCTGGCACTGATGGACACTGACAGGTGGCACATCTGGGGCCACACTGATCATCAGGGCACACTGATTATCAGTGCCCTGATGATCAGTGTACATGTCCCCTCTGCGGAAAGTCGATTACCGGCTCTCCTCTCCTCTCGAGCAGTCAGCGTGACAGCTCGAGAGGAGAGAAATGCTGATAACCGGCATTTCGTGTTTACATGTGATCAGCTGTGATTGGACACAGCTGATCACATGACCGAGCAGACATCTTCGGGGTGGCAGCCCTGGATGTCACTGCTATCCCTAACAGCTGGTAGGGCAGACCATCTGGGAGGGGTGGTAATGGTAGTGCAGGAAGGCCTAGACAGTTGGTGGTAGTAGGGGATTATATGATCAGAAGGACTTATAGAATAATTTGTCACCAGGATCGCCTCAACCGAATGGCTTGCTGTCTCCATGGTGCCAGGGTTCAGCATGTGGTGGACCAGGTTGATAAATTACTGGAAGGAGCTGGGCATGACCCAGCTGTCCTGGTTCATGTTGAAACCAATGACAGAATACATGGAAGGTGGAGGCTCCTTAAGAATCAATTTAAAGAACTAGGCTGCAAGTTGAAGGGAAGGACCTCCCTAAGGTGATATTCTGTGAAATATTACCTGTGCCATACGCAACTCAGGAAAGACAGGGGAATATTAGGGAACTCAATGCATGGCTGAAGACCTGGTGTAAGAGGGAAGGATTTGGGTTTCTAGAGCACTGGGCTGACTTTTCACTGGGGTGCGATCTATATGCTAGAGATGGTCTGCACCTAAATGGAAGGGGGTCTGCTGTGCTGGGGGAGAGGTTTATGGGAAGGCTGGAGGAGTATTTAAACTAGGATCAAGGGGGGGGAGAATTAGATTATAACAGGGTAGACAGATCAGACAGAGGTCAATACTTATTGGTGGGTGGAATGGGGAAAGCTGGGGGAGGGCTATGGTAAGAAGGTTCCCATGTTACAAATAACCAGTGGAATTGCTACCATTTGTATGAATATAAAAAAATATGTAAAATATGTGTGAACAAGGTGTCAATTACTTAAAGTGTTCACCAATGCCAGAAGTCTGCCAAGCAAAATAGGTGAGTTGGAAGCTTTGGTGCATGAAGAGAACTATGATTTAATTGGTATTGCTGAATCTTGGCTTCATTCTTTGCATGACTGGGCCATTAATATTCCTGGCTATGTTCTCTTTTGGAGAGACAGGGTAAATAGGAAAGGTGGTGGTATCTGTCTCTATGTGAGAAGTGATCTCAGAGCGAGTGTGGAAGAGGACCTAGTTGATGGAGAGTGTGATGAGGCTGAAGTATTATGGGTGGAACTGCACATGGAGGGTGCATACTACAATGGTAATCATTGGAGTTTGTTATAGACCTCCCAGTGTTTAATGAGGAGGCGGAAAATCAGCTCCTTGCACAGATCAAATGGGCTGGGACAGTGATAATAATGGGGGATTTTAACTACCTGGAAATTGACTGGAGTAATGTTACTGCAGGAACAGTTAAAGGGCAAACATTTTTAAACCTACTACAGGACAATTTTATGGTACAGTTCATAGAGGCCACTACTAGGAATGATGCTCTGCTGGACCTGGTAATCTCAAACCATGCAGAGCTTATTACAAATGTCCATATAAAAGAACATCTGGGTAGCAGTGACCATAACATGATTTCATTTATTGTTAGCCGTAAACAGCGAGCACATACGGGAAAAATAAAAACGCTCAATTTCAAGAGATAATTTTTCAAAGCTGAGAGCTGCTCTCCAAGACTTATATTGGGAGGGAATATTGGCATTGATAAACACAACACAGAAATGGGAGTTCTAACATTTTGGTTATCTTCAACTTCGTCACTTTATTCATACTCTAATACGTATGCATCCAGGACCATACCGTTTATCCCCTTTTGAAAGCCAGTGTAGACATAGACCTCATGCTCCAGGTCTGATCTCCCTGATTTATTCTTCCATTATGTCTTATAGAACCCCTCCGGTTTGTTCCTACCATCAGCGTTGGCAGTCGGAATTAGGGGGAACCCTGGATCAACAAGACTGGCAGCTCATGACCCAAACATTATCTAAGTGTTCCAGGAATGTCATTATTCTTGAGAATGCCTATAAAATTCTATACCGATGGTACTATACGCCTGCCCGTCTAGCTAGTTTTATCCCTACCTATTCCCCGGTTTGTTTTCGAGGATGTCAACAATTGGGTACCATGGCACACATCTGGTGGACTTGCCCTAAGGTAAGCAGGTTGTGGATTAGGGTATATGCCCTCCTCCGCACTATTCTTCATACAGACATTAAGCGTAATCCATATGAAGCTCTTCTATTTAAACCACTTGAGGGCCTTCTCCGCTCTGAATGGCAGCTGGCATCACATTTATTTATGGCAACTAAATTGACGATTGCGAGGGCTTGGAAGACTCCTGTCCTTAGCTTTGAGGCTGTCAAAAATCGGATGAACTTTATAATGGTCAATGAAAAACTGACGGCCATATTGTTGGATACCCACACAAAATATCTGCAGATATGGTGTCCTTGGCTGGATATAGCTCAGCCCTCGAGATTCGACCAGTCCCTTTTATCGATATGAGGATGAGTTCTGCTGTGATCCCCCCGGAGCCCTTCCCTCTCCCCCCTTTTTTTTTTTTGTGTGTTTTGTGTGTGTTGTCCATGTCTCTCTACTATTTGTCTTTTTCTACTCTTCTGTCTACTCTGTCCTTAAACATAATTTACGGATTGTACCTGCTGTTCTCTGCGCTGCATCCGTACGGCTATTTATGCAATCTAGATTTCTTTTTAAATTCTAGGTCATGAATATGTACTGTTTTTTTTTGATGCGGCCATTTCTCAGGCCTTTCCTGTTTATTAGAATGTTGATGTAGCAATACTTCCCTTTGGAGTTTACATTATCATTGACCCACAAAGGTCTGTTACCCGTTCCCTCCCAATCTCCCTCCCCATCCCTTCCCTCAGGGCACCTACGTAAACTTTTCAGATTTTGCTTTTATCGATACATGCCTTGCACCAGCTTCCCTGCATTTATTGTAATATGTAACTGTTGGTCATTGAATTTTTGCTACGATTGTCTGTTCATCTTTGCTTATTATTCAATAAAGCTTTTTGTAAAAGAAATGGGAGTTCTTCAAAAAGACTGAACACACTGCAAAATATATTCCCATGGGCAACAAGTTTAAAAGGCTAAAAAAAAATCAAACTTATGTGGCTTACGACCAAAGTTAAAAAGGCTATAGATAATAAGAAAAGAGCTTTTGTTAAATGTAAAAATGAAGGAACACTATCATCGTTTAAACATTAAAAAGAATATATCAGAGTATGCAAAAAGGAAATAAAGGCCGCAAAAATTGAAAACAAACGACAGATTGCAAAAGATAGCAGGACCAACCCCAAAAAAATCTTCAAATATATTAATAGTAAAAAGGTTCGGTCCGAGCATGTACGCCCTTTACAAAATAATCTAGAGTGGGTGACTGGCGACAAAGAGAAGGCAAATTTATTTAATACCTTCTTCAGCTCTGTGTATACAAAGGAGCATGGGGGAGCTCTTGTCCGTAATGGGCATGATATTGTCACAGCTCCAGATGATCCACATTGGCTCACAATTGATATAATCCAAAAATATTTAGACAGTATAAAGGTGAATAAAGCACCAGGACCAGATGGCATACACCCACGGGTCCTTAAAGAATTGAGCTCTGTCATTTCAGAGCCATTGTTTCTAATTTTTTAGGGACTCTTTAATGATTGGCATAGTACCACTGGATTGGCATAAGTGCTCAAAATCTTTACCAAGTAATTATAGACCTGTTAGTTTACCTTCTATAGTTGGGAAGATACTGGAGAGTTTAATAAAAGACCACATAGATGTGTTCTTGCTGAGAAAAAATATTTTAAGCAACAGACAGCATGGATACATGAAAGACAGAAGTTGTCAAACAAATCTGATTTCTTTTTATGAGGGGGTGAGCAAAACCTTGGACAGAGGGGCGGCAGGGGACGTGGTATACTTGGATTTTGGAAAAGCATTTGACACAGTTCCCCACACATGGCTAATGTGTAAGGTAAAGTTTACGGGCTCGGAAAAATCCGTATGTAAATGGATAGAAAACTGGCCAAAAAGATCGTATTCAGAGTAGTGGTTAATGATTCATACTCTGAATGGTCTAGGGTTGTCAGTGGTGTACCCTAGAGTTCAATTTGTTATCACCCTTACTGTTTAATATATTCATAAACAATATAGGGTCTAGGATTATAAATCCCATTTCAGTCTTTGCAGATGACACCAAGCTGTGCAGTGGAATAATGTCCTTACAGGATGTCTTCAACTTACAAACCGTCCACAATGCAATGTTTAATTGGGCAACTATGTGGCAAATGAGGTTTAATGTTATGCACTTGGGGGCTAAGAATATGCATGCATCATACATACTGGGGGGAGTACAACTGGGGGAATCAATGGTGAAGGATCTGGGAGTTCTGGTAGATCACAAGCTTAATAATGGGATGCAATGCCAAGCTGTGGTTTCTAAAGAGATCAAAATCATCTCTTGTATTAAGAGGTATAGACTCCAGAGAGAGATATCATATTACCCCTGTACAAATCATTAGTAAGACCTCATCTGGAATATGCAGTTCAGTTTTGGGCACCAATTCACAAAAAACATTGGGGAACTGGAGAAAGTACAGAGAAGGGCAACTAAACTGACAAAAGGCATGGGAAGAGCTCAGCTATGAGGAAAGATTAGAGGAACAGAATTTATTCTCTCAAGAAGAGGAGATTAAGGGGGGATACGATCAACATGTATAAAATACATCAGTGGTTCATATAGTGAACTCTGTGTGGATGTTTGGTTGAACAAAAAAAAATTACTGCATGGTCAGCCTTACCATTCCCTCACTGTCAGACTCCAGCACTCTCCTTCTCTCCCTCCTTAGCTCCAGGCTGTAGGTAGTTCCTCCATCGCATACAATGCAGGATAAAACTGAAGGCAAAACTTTTTTTCCTTTTTGGTAGAGAGGAGAGGGATTAGAACACATGTCAGGTTTTCATGCTGTCATTGCCCCCGTTAGGAAGATTTACCCTATTTGCCCTGTTTATTGTTATCATGGAAAGTGAAACAAATTCCCAAATTTTGGTTTGTCACCAGGACAAAAATATACAGACTCTTCCAATGGGGCCACTAGTTCTGGTGACCCAAGTGACCTCCAGAGATTTTCTCTTGCTTCCTGTTGTGTCTGTGAGACAGCAAGTGAAGGTAAATCTCCCCAAAAGGACACAAATGGCACATTATGAAAGTCTTACCTTGAA